GGATGCAAAGCCGGCGACAAATCGGCGATAATACGAAGCAAAGCCAATAAAACTGCGCACCTCACTCGCCGAAGTGGGTGTCGGCCACGTGCGGACACACGCCGTCTTTTCCGGGTCCGTAGCGATACCTGATTCGCTCACTATGTGACCCAAATATCGAACCGATTTTTATAGGGACACTTCTGTGGTTAAAATTTCAGGTCGGCCGCACGCATCTTAGGAATAACAGTCCGCAGGGGATCCAAATGTTCATCGAATGTATGACCAAAGACAACGTCGTCCAAATATATTAGGCACGATTCCCACTGGAGGCCCGCTAAAATAAGTTCCATCGGCCTGTGAAACGTGGCCGGTGCGGAGTGGAGGCCCATAGGGAGCCGGTTAAATTCGAACAACCCTTGCGGCGTACGAAAGGCCGTCTTGGACTTGGAAGCCTCATTGAGCGGCAATTGCCAAAATCCCGATAATAGGTCAAGGTTAGAAAAGAACCGTGCTTCCGCCAGGGTGTCCAGGGAATCGTCCATACGCGGCAAGGGGTTTGCATCCGCGACGGAAACCTTATTGAGTTTGCGGAAATCAACACAATCGCAAGCTGCCGTTGTGCTTCTTGACAAGCACGATCGGGGCACCCCATGGACTGGTGGATGGTGAGATGATGTACGCGGCCATCATCTCATCAACCACCACATGAACATGTTCCTTCTCGGCCGGGCTCAAGCGGTAAGGATTTTGCCGTATTGGGGCAGCATCGCCCGTATCAATATGGTGGCTTAAAAGGGACGTGCGACCAATATCAAATTGACTTTTACAAAAAATCAGAAAATTCACGCAAGAGAGCACGCAGCTTCCCCCTTTGTCCCATAGATAAATCGCCGCACTCAGAGCAAAGTTTATCAATCCATCCTTCGTCCACATCCTGGAACCCACGAGCTTGAGCGCCGACCCCGACACTTCCCACAACGTCCCTCTCTGGACGCGCCGACGAAGCATGTGCCAGCACGGTACTCTCCTGGATGGCCGTTGTCCGGCCCGACATGAAGAACCTGAATGAAAGGTTTTTGGTCCTGGGACACCAATGTCTGGGCTGCCACTAGCGACATACCGCGATTAAGTTTATTGGAGGGCCCCAAAACAACACCCTCATCTGCAGTGCGCACATCGAGCAGTTTTCGCAACTGGAGGGACACTAACATTTGTGCGCCAGGCGGAATCCGCAATGTTCGGCATGCAATAGCCTGCACCGTCGCGTTAGCGGAGACACGAGTCGGAGACGGAAGAAATGCCATATGCCGTCCCGACGGCAATTCCAGACAGCCCTGATCAACACAAATCTTCAGGGGCGTCTTGTGCAGAAAATCGGTCACCGAGCAGACACGGGATGGCTCGGGCCGTAGAAACCAAAACGTGGCCCGACAATTTGACATCGGCGATATGCAACTCAGCCGTTATCCGTCCGATTATTCCCAACGATCCGCTATTAGTGACAAAACACGGAGCATCCACAGGTTCCAAAATGTGACCCCGGGGAGGTAAAATGTTATAGATAAGTTCAGAAATAATAGTCGAAGACGCGCCGGTATCAACGAGCATGCGTATTTCCGACGAACTCGTGGCCACCGCGACCACTCTATGAGAAAGCTCCGACCACTGATCCGGTTGGAGCTGGCGCGCGTCACGAACACGTCCCGACTCCCGCCGAACCCGCGCGCGACCCCGACCCAAACCGGACCCCCCCGATGGGTGAAGTGAATCCCGGGGCCGAGTGTGGGGTGCGCCGTGACTCTCCTTATGAAGCAGGGAGCCGTAGGAAGGCGGACTTCCCAGGGGTCGCCGTCGAGGAACCCGACAGCCCGACTGGACGTTCCCCGGCAGGCCGCAGTTGTAGCAGACGACCCGGCCACTCCTGGACTGAGATGATGAAGTCCTCGCCCGTCGCCGGTCGTCCCTCCGCCGATCATCAGCACCCCGATGGGCGCCACCCTGCTGGTGCAGCGAGCATGCAGGAGCAGGCTTGGTCTCCGCGTAGGCCTCCGGCTCTGTGGAGGATGTGGCGCACGCCACCAACACCCTGCTGCACCTGTATGCACCTGGCGACCCGGAGTGAAGACACCGCATCGTCCTCGGCGGGAAGCACAGTGTGGAGGTCTTTTGCAACTCCCAGCATCTTCTCAAGGACCAAGGCGTCAAAGACCGTCGTGGTCCATTTTAGGGTACGTGGCCTTTGCTAGCGCCAAAAGCGCGCTACGGTAGGCGAGAGCTGACTCGCCTTCCCCTTTACGTCTTATGGCGAACTTTTGCCGGGTGTTCAACGGAGGCTCAAACAGCCGCCATCTGGTCCGAACGCCAGCAGTAGGGTGGATCTGTCAGACGGCGGGGTGGCGAGGAACGCCGCCAAGGCGTCGTCGTCAAGGGTGGTGGGCAGCGCTTTTAACGCCTCCGTCCATCCCGCAAAGTCAGCATTGGTCAGAAACACCGCTTAAACGCTACCCAATCGCCGCTGGCAGCAACAAATTATTTAATGAAGGGCAGTCGGCGGCGGAGGGACGGGATGTCCATCGGCGAGGACCGCTCTGCTTCGAGCTTTGCGGCCTCCGCGCTCCACGCCGGCAGTAAAATGGCGGCCGTGAGCACGGACTGCGCCGTCGACGTTCCCGCCCTTTGTGAAATGGCGGCCGAGTCGCTCCGTCCAGACGACTCCGCCGCTCCCTCCTCCAACGCAGCAGTTAGAGGATGCAGCTCGGTGAGGATCGAGGACGCCGTCTGAAGAAGCTCCGCAAGGCGACCGTGCAAGTCTGACGAGCGCCGAATCAGCTTTTCATCGTCTTCGTCGTCCGAAGCCCGTGTACGAACTTTGCGATGTGTAGACATGACTGTCTACCGCTAGCTATTTCCTAGCAAGTTGGCCACTTCCGACACCAGTTGTAGTGAGTCCAACTGAGTCGCAGACGTTGTCTTAGGGAGCAACACGTTTTATTAAACTATTTGCACAACATACTCCAGGCTATTAACACAACATACTCTCAGGTGGTGACCACCAAACTAACCATGCTACGGTGGAACTAGACACAGTTCCGCTAACCCAGTCCAGACCACAAGCTGGGTCCTGCACCGCGTGGCTGGAGGCTTCTTCAAGATTGACGTGGATCTCCTGCCTCTCCTACAGTAAGAACCCCAAGCCCCTCACTGGGGGGCCCCTCTTATATTGGGCTGGGCTGGGGCTGGCTCCGCCTCTCGCCCTGCCCACCTTCTCGATCTCTCTCACCCTTGCCCGAAGGCTCTCGAGAGTTCTTCCCGGACCATGTGACCACCCATTGGCCCCCTCCACCGATAGCCCCCCTCCAGTATCATCCGGTCACATGTCCCCATGTCAGCCAGAGTATCATGCCCCCAACGTAACCCTAGCTGGCTGACACTCTCTCGCTCTCTCAACAGGAGCCCGCACCGCACGCTGTGCATGGTGCCACTGCGCTTAACCAGCGCTCACCCAAGCCCCCACTAGGGCTGGTACTACACCCCGTGTCCGGGGTGTACACACAACAGTATACATCCTGCCGTGGCCTTGCAGGCCAGGCACCCCACAGTGACATTCCCTGTCACTACAAGTGTGCCAGTGGGAAAGAGGAAATAGACTTCAGCATCTCATACCCACAAGTAACCATTTAAAGCTTTCGTGACTGCAGGGATTCATCTTCTTGGTTCTTTTGGTAAAGTCACGTAGAAGGGAAGTAATAAAATAATAAAAATAAAACATAATAAAATAAAATAATTCTCACGACGTTTCGGCTACAACGCAAGCAGCCGTCTTCAGGTGAAGAATGAGACACTGCCAAGCTAGGAGCTTATATATAAGCTGGGTTGGAGGTGGAAGAGCGCCTTAACAAAAAGAATGTGCATATCAAGAGGAATTTAGCATATTCATTGAAATGCGTAGGAGGTGGGCAGGGGGGTTTCAAAGTCATATTATGCCCATGCATTATGCAGGATCAGCAGCACCAAGGGAGGGTGCAGGGAGTAGCATTAACAAAGGAAAGGAATGTTAATAGTATGTAGCTGCAGTTACTAAACAACCACGTAGAAAACTAAAGTATAAACTACATAAAAACTAAAGTATAAACTGCATAGCACCATCAGTATATTTACTATACTCTACAATAAGCTGAGTTACTAACAGCAAGTAATACATTACAATTCTACGTCGTAAAAATTATATAATATGCTTCCATCTAAACTTTATTATCTTACATCACACGAGCATACACCGTACTATATACTGCCATAGATAAACCCAACATCAAATTATATACTGTATTGCTATAAACCACCTTATACGTTTTAATATAACACTATGTATTATTCTACCCACCCTAATGTGTATCACACTGCTATATGTTTACTATACAATTACGATACTATATATTAATGTGTACATTGTATTAAGCATATAAATGTTATACTATTTGTTATTATACACTGTACCATTGACCGTCGTGTCAATGGGTGAGTCGTGGGGGGAAAACTTGCAGCGGAGCAAAGAATCCATTCCCTGCGGAGAATACAATGCCAGTGAGTGGAAACGCGGTCTGAAAGTCACCGTAAACGTCCTTCCAATGATTGGAAGGACGTAATAAACCATTTCGGATCTTAACTGATTGTGTTCACGTTTCACCTGAAGACGGCTGCTTGCGTTGTCGCCGAAACGTCGTGAGAATTATTTTATTTTATTATGTTTTATTTTTATTATTTTATTACTTCCCTTCTACGTGACTTTACCGAAAGAACCAAGAACACAAGTAACCAATCGGAGGTCTTTTAAGCAAAGCAATATGAGCGAGGATTTTGTAGCCTGAATTCCAGAAAGGCTAAGCTCGGTAGGTTTTATTCCGGTAGACACATGAGTAATCACTTTTAAGTCAAACTTGTGTTTACTACTTTGGACTAACAAAATATTGTGGTGTTTTCTCCGTGTGTATTCATGATGTGGTGTGTGCGGTGTGGTGCAGGTGTTCACGCTGCAGAAAAGGCCAACCAGGTTTAGTTTTATGATGCTGCCACCCCCAGGACAATATTACCCAGTTTCGGTCACCCATTTGGAACTTCCCAATCAGGTAACAGCGATGGTTAACAAGTAGACACTGTCAATTCCGAAAGTGGTGGTCGTGGCATCGCCAGGAATCCAAATACAGTTGACTCAATTATCTGCGTGCAGTTTATCTGATTTGCTGATTAGCTTGTACCTGAGATTTTGACAAATAAATAACTCATGGATTTTCCCTTAAGCCCAAATTAATAATCGAAAATTAGTTGTACATAGTTATTTTTGGAAATGTGTATTACAAGTTGCTTGCTTAAACTGAACAAATATGTTGCTCCGGTTGATCCGAAATCCATGTGATTGCCTCTACAGTAGATCTTTACAGCAGTGGGTGGAGTTTGATTGATGTTGATTGGCATGGCTCTGCTGCTGTCCACTTAGGGGGCTGGGTCTTCTGCACGGAAGCAGGAAAGTGTTATCACTGAGCAAGGCCATCGAATACTAATGATCGACCGATCGATCGTTAGTATTTGTTCTAAATCGAAAGAGAAACAATCATAATCATCAGTTCTGCTACATTTTTATTTTACCTGATCATTTATTTTCTGAGTTGTAATGTATATCTATGTAAGATTTTTTTATAGCATAGAGATCTGCAGACAATACATATTTTGGAATTATCCATGATTTTTTATTATCCGCGGCCATCCTCCCCGTCATTAGCGCGGATAATCGAGAGTCGACTATAACGTTGAGTTGTGCTGCATCATACTGAATTGTAATAATCTGAAGAGCAATGTATTTGTATGTAAGAACATATATGAGGCAGTGTTAAGATATAACAGGCAAGCATAGGTTCTGATGGGGGTGGGGGGGTTACTTTTACATGATGGAGGAGAGGGGCAGGTCACAGAACAGCCACGAGAGTGGCATCCAGAGGCTGGCGACTGAAGGGAAAGAACCAAATCCACCAGGTGATGACTATAAGAGAGCAGAGACCTTCAAGGTCAGCTGCTGATTTCTACAAAAGCTTTGGGATCTGGTAGAAGGGGAGAAGTGTTGTCATTGTGTTTGACTACAAAGGTATTGGCCATTGTCAGAATTATTAAACAACCCTCACGAATAACAGCGTTTGGGGGAGACCTTCAGCAGTGCATTAAAAATCAGCTGCGGAAAGCAAAATAAACTGCTACCCTAAATGTGTGTATTACATATGGGGTGCTGTTATCTTAAAGGAAAGTATAAAGCTCCTTAATCAAGGGCGCTTTACAAATAATTAACAACGGTGCAACAACGTATGAATGTAATGGTGGAGATGAGGTGAATAAAATAAATGAGAGGAAGCAATGGGAACAAATCTGTGATGCGGGAATTCGGTGAAAGTAAAATTACAGTCAGTTGATGATGTATGGATTAAATGAATAGGAAATGAGTGAAAGCCATATCATGAAGATATGAAGAGGGAAAATAGCGGTGGCAATTATGAGGGGGAGATTAAGGAGTCATGGGGTGAACTAGGAAACAATAAGTAAGTTTTGAGTGAAGAGTGGAAACTAGTGAGGGAAGGTGAATGCTTAATGTGAAGGGGGAACTTTGTTCCAGCGAAGGGGGGCAAGAAAAGAAACATGGATTGAGCACAAGGAAGAGAAGGAAGAACAAAGAGAGACAGCAAAGATTGAGAACGTAGAGGGCGAGAAGGCGACAAGCGGTTATTCTTGGTGCAGTGAATGGGTTTTGTGATCTCTTGGTGTCATGATTTCTTGGTAATGATCCCACCACATAGGTGTACATCCGCCTGTCTGCCAGCTCCCCGCCAACACCGCTTTTGGAGGGCCGAGAGGATGAGCAAGGCCTCAACCCCAAGCTGATCGCCGCTTTAATTAAAATCCACACATCACCGGTTTGCCTTTCTCCACTAAAGGATTTTAATGTCGGTAAGTAAGACGATGCAGTGCTCATATTAAACGTTTGTGCTTTCCGAATTTACATTTTTCTACTCCTCTTAAAGAGCCTCGGCACCATACTAAACCAGAATGTGTCGTTTGATCACCATGTACAAAATATAATCAGGTCGAGCAATTTTCATATCAGGGCTCTACGACACATTCGACCACTATTGAGTCGTGACGTAGCCAACACGGTGGCATGTAGCATCATATCGACAAGGCTCAATTATTGCAACTCGCTACTCTACGGGACATCTGGCAAAACCATTACCAAGCTGCAGCGTATACAAACTATTTGCCACGTGTACTGCAAGATCTGACCATGTCCGTCCGGTGTTCGCCGAACTGCATTGACTTCCAGTTGCTGAACAAATACACTAAGGTCACGCTCATTACACGCAAAGTGCTTGCCACAAATGAACAACAATACCTTGCTGATCTCATAAAGGAACGCGAACCATCATGCGAACTCCAGTCATCCTCACAGCGGCTATTGACTAGCCATCGAACAAAGATGGTGGTCACGGCATTGTGCGCTTTTAGATGCGCTGCTGCGTCTTTCTGGCACACACTTCTGATATTAGAAAGCCACTGGAGCTATGCACTTTTATATATACATTGAAAACTAATTTCTTTAGAACTGCTTTTTGTGTGTTTCATTTGTTGTCCTTCCCCCACACCTCCAATTAGCACGATTGTCTACGTATGGTGCAAAAGAAGTTCCATACAAAGAAGTTCCATACAAACAAGATCCCCCATAGAGCCTTAACCGACTTTTGTGGCAAGTGCTGTTAGCGAGCACCTATAGACACATACATACAACATGCCTGTGTAGGTTTGCACATAAGGTTATTATACACAAGTTCGCCACTTGACAACTTATTCCAAGAAGGCTAAACAGAGTGGTGTGGCAACAGCCACTCCTGCAGCTTCATATGTTGAAACAACAACCGCCATTCACCCAAGTGGCAGTGACATCACCACGGCGCATGTGCCATGCTAGGTGCACTTTGAGGCCAACGTGAAGTGTTGAAGGCCCGCCGCTGACAGGAGGAGGTCACGGAACAGACTCGCAAGAACACCACGTGCAAAATTATAGTCAGGTTGAGCAATTTTCATAATAGGCTCTACGACACATTCGATCACTATTGAGTCATGACGTAGCCAACATGGTGGCATGTAGCATCGTATCGACGAGGCTCAATTATGGTGGGGTGGAGCGGCCTAGCCCCCAGCCTGGCCAAGGTGCCACCTCCGCCGGCTAGGCAATCTAGGCGAGGCCACGGGCTCTGCACGAGACTAGGCCTCACCACGGCAATGTAAAGTACGATTTTATTGCTTTCGAATAACTCACGTAGATTGTTTACTATTATGAAACAAATAAGTTAGCAAATATTACAAAAATAATGTTTGTGTGCAGACAACTAATATTTCAATAATTAGTTGCTAAATATTTACTTATTTAGGTGTCTTTTTATGACGCTGCGCAAGTGTACTGCCAGTCTGTGCTGCTGCCTGCAGATTAATTGACGTCAATGCACTGCTACTATTATCTACACTGCTAATTTTGCTTTTGGGCATTTGTAAGTGTATGCAAGTTTATAATCTGTTGCCTATACTCAAACTTTTTGGCTCTTTCGGTAAGTCACGTAGATAGAAAATAAATTAAATCACGACGTTTCGGGCGCAACACAAGTGCCTGTCATCAGGTGGAAACAACCACAGCAATAAACAATTGCTGAAGTGGGCAAAGGAGGCTGCTTTCAGCTGCTGTGATCGTATTGCCAGCTTATGTCATTGAGTCAGCGTACTGGCAGTCTATGATCTAGACTGTAGCCTGCTTCTCAACTTACCTGTGCGTACTGCTGCTCTATAATATTGACTTCATCTTATTTCTTCAATGCATTTATATTGTTTCCATTGCTCACGTCACTCTATTTACTGATACGCAGTACTGCGATGCTGAGTACTATGTTATACTGTTAAATACGTTGGACTTTTGTAGTTACAGCCAATTACATTTACTCTATCGTTTTGTTACATTTGTGGGAACATCAACCATTTAAATTTTGCCATACCTCACCTTTTCTTTCCTCCAAAGCGGGGAGCACGTAGGGAGGTTCAATGCCCTAAGTATTGTTGATGTTGCTGTTCTTTCGGTGGGTTAGGAACATTGTGAGAGAAACATTGTTCTTCCGTACCAAGAAAACACCATCGCACGATTTCCTGACACTAACAGAGCATACGATGCCCTACAATAGCACATTTTACTGTCGCAAGTCCAAGATGGGTACCACGTCAAGACAAAGACATCCTCACAAAACTGTCTCCTCTAAAAAAACTTATATTCCTTCATGATCATGGACAGAGGAGGAAACCACATTATGGTGCGCCAACCTCTTTCACCAGTATGTTGTCGATGAGTATGCCAACATTGAGAGTGAGCACCTTCTTTTCATTCAACTGAATCAAAACCGCCTGCGTGTGAACAGTACGTTCATCTCTGGGACGCCATAAATGCCGACGGAGATGCAAACGCTCAGAATGTGGGCAGATTAGCTATTTTGCCTTCATTCACAGCTCGACCAAGATACATGCAGGATAAGACTCGGGATGCTATGACGTACATCAGCCAATATGGCAGGCCCCATCTCGTTATCACCTTCACTTTCAATCCCAAATGAAAGGAGATCCAGGTTTACCTTTATCCAAACCAAGAGCCACCAGACAGACATGACATCTTAGTGAGGATCTTTGAACTCAAAGTTGATGACCTCATGATGCTTATTACAACCAACGAAGGCGGCATCCTTGGATAGACAAGCAGTAACTTGCACACCATTGGGTGGCAAAAACGTCTTCTTCCTCATGCTCACATTTCGCTATGGATGAGGGAAACAATTCATGCAAGTCACATTGACACATTTATCAGTGCTGAGCTACCTGACCCCCATCAAGACCCTGCACTTTTTCAATGTGGTCTGCAACCAAATGGTCAATGACCCATGTGGCCAGTTGTATCCCCAAATGCGCCATGTATGCAAGCCCACAGGTGTACCAAGAGGTATCTACAAAACTACTTGAAAGACACTCAGTAGGCCCATGATGGCTATCTTCTTTATCGTCACAGAAATACTGAGCATGGAGGATTTCAAAGAACGCTCAGACCTGCCACTAACTCGGATATTAAAGTTGACAACAGGTGGATCATTCCCTACTGCCCTCTTCTCTGCAAGATCTACCAGGCCCACTGTAATGTCAAATTCTGCTATTCTACAAAAAGCCATCAAATATGTTTGCCAATACATCAACAAAGGCTCTGACATGGCTCTCTTTGCCTTACAAAACCGAGAGGCAAAGTGTGCATGAGGTTAAACCTTTTTTTCAAGGAAGATACATCAGCAACATTGAGGCCATTTGGAGAATTCTTGCCTTCCCCATCCATGACTGTTCCCCCACAGTCGTCCATTTGGCAGTTCACCTCAAAAATGGTCAACGCATCTACTTCACCAAAGGAAATGCCCAACAACAGACCCTGGCTGCACAAGATACCACCCTGATGGCGTTCTTTGTTTTGTGCCCAAGTGACCCATTTTCTGCCAACCCTCCTACTATAGATGGACTGCTAAAATAAAATGGAAGCGACGTGCTGATGACGGTAAATATGATGCCTTACAAAGAGTCCACACTGTTCATCCTAACAATCAGCAGTGCTACTTTCTCCCAATGCTTCTCCATGTTGCCAAAGGACCCACATATTTCCAAGACCTCGAAACAGTGGAAGGAGTTGTCTGTGCAATTCTTGCGGATGATCACCATCTTCATAAAGCTATGACAAGCTTCTGTTAGTCCCCTTTCCAACTGACATTGCTCTTTTGCATGAATATTCAAGTTTGCAGCCCATATAACCCCATGGGACTCTGGCAAAAATACAAAGAGGGCATGAGTGAGGACATCCTCCACGGAGCTCAATGACAAAATACAAACCTCGACATCAACTTTTCTGATGTCATCTTAAAACAGGCCCTCATCCTCCTTCAGGACAAACTGCACTCCATTGGTGGAAAATACCTCACGTCTATGGGACTACCAACACCCTACAGGGACAACCTGCATGCCCTTGCTCAAGAGATCCTACGTGAAATATGCTATGATACTTTAGAGCTTTTATTTATTTAGGAAAATTAACCAAAGCTGATGGATGCACAAATGGAAGCCTACATGAAAATCTTGGAAGACATTGAGACTGCAAATGGAGTCATTTATTTCCTTTAAGCACCTTCCAGTACTGGGAAGACCTTTGTTTTCATACTGTTCTTCGCTAAGACTCGCCAGAGAGAGAATTGCTCTAGCGGTGGCATCATCGGGGATTGCTGTGTAAGTCGATGTGTGTGTGTGTGTGAGTCGATGTGTGTGTTTGAGTCTATATGTGTGTGCGTAAGTCGATGTGTCTGTCGTTTTAGCCTGGGCAACGCCAGATGTGTGTGTGTGTGTAAGTCCATGTGTGTGTGTTAGTCGATGTGTGTTAGTCGATGTGTGTGCATGGCTCCATGTGAGTGTGTAAGTCACTGTGTGTGTCTGTGTCAGTCGATGTGTGTGTGTACGTCGATGTGTGTGTGTGTGTGAATCAATATATGTGTTAGTCCATATGTTGTGTGGTTATTCTTGACACCACTAGAGACTTGTAGAACCACACGGAGATGGAGCTTCATGTAAGGGCTTGCGCCAGTTGTTTATTAACCACTCTTCACACGTCATTAACACTCTGAGTACTACACGCTCACTGCCTACACTCCACACCCGACGCCTGCCCCCGTTATGGTGCGCGTCAGAACTCTGGCCTGCACGTGGAACTGTCTCCCATTATTCTACGCCCCGGCACGGCTTCCCCTCGTCTGCCCCGGCCGGAGGCACGCCATCACCGCCCGGCGACGAGGTTGGGCTTTTAAACCTCTAGCCTTCCTTCGGCGGCGGCTGGGCTGTTCCCACTGCAGGCACACGTTCCCATCTCTACTCACACTCCACACCCCAGGGGAAGGGTACTGGGGATTCCTAGCACTCACACAGGCTACTCTAGCCTGGCGCTAATTTCCCCCTACCCTGGGTCCCAACTTCCAACCTCACACCTTCCTGGCTCCTTGCGACGACCCAGAACACGTCACGGGTCCCACCCTAAATATCCCCGGAGGACATGACGTCACCGTCCCACCCGCCGTGCATGACGTCACTCTCTGACGTCACTGCACTGGAGGGCGTGCGTGACGTAACGTCATTATTTACAACTCTACATTACCCCCCCTGTGAAGAAAAATCAGCCGTCTCGGCTGTCCACGTCCCCTCACATATAAACAACAACAATCCTAGACAACCCCAACAACAAACTAATCCTAAACCCCTACGCCAAGCATCAAAAACGCCACACAGCAACACACCACAACACCAAGCACCCAACTAACATCCCTATGAATAGCAAACCAAAACCCTTAAGCTAACCTCTTCCTGGCCACAACATAACAACAAAATAACACCATAAAACACTCGAACAATCCAAAATGCAAAAAAACAAACACTGAGGGAAAAACCGTCCGCGAGGAACACAAAACCGGAGAGTCAAACTGAAAAAGTCCCTCCCAGCAGTGTCTCCAACGTCGAAACCCTCTCTTCAATTACGGGCCCCTCTCGCTCTCACCACCGATGCCCTCCCCCGCTCTTCTTACTTCAATGTGGGGAGGGAGGCCCGTAATCACAGGGCTGCAGCGGCGCGCCGCCAGGCCGGCGCAGCACACAAGGTGCAAAAGGCGGGAACGCCGCCACTGCAGAAATGGCAGGAACGCCGCCACCGCGAAAACACCGCCGCGGTGAAAATGGCGGGAATGCCGCCGTGGGAAGTGCAGGAACGCCGGCACGGTGAAAATGGCGGGAACGCCGCCGCGGGAACGGCGGGAACGCCGGCACGTTGAAATGGCGGGAAACGCCGTCACGGTGCAAATGGCGGGAACACCGGCACGCTGAAAAATGGCGGGAACACCGCCGCGGTGGAAATGGCGGGAACGCCGGCACGGTGAAACTCGCGGGAACGCCGCCACCGCCGAAACGGCGCGAACGCCACAGCTGTGTCATCTTGCAATTTCGCCATCACTCACCAACACCCGGCCGCTCCCTCGCCACCAGCAGCTGGTCGAGTTGACCAGCGACGTCGCTCCAGCTCGCCGTCGATGGCGACCAGCCCGGGCCCGCAGCCTCCTCCCATGCAGGCTGCAGTCGCCCATCCCCCGGGGCACATCACCGGGGCCCCGGACTCTGGGGTCGTCGCAGGGAGAGGCCAGGTGCAGCCCTCGCCGTCCATCCGCACCTCCGGTTGGGTCTTGCACTTCGCTGCCAGCTTTTACACCATGGCAGCGAAGGGTACAGCTTCTTCAAATTAATCAGCGAAAGTTCGATGACCACTTCTGACACCAAATGTTGTGTGGTTAAAAAGGACGCTGAAGCCGGTCGTGTAGTGGCTGACGCCTAACTCGGGGGAAGGGGTTAACACGAGGGTTATTAACTAAGCTCCCCAGGGGAAGGGTACTGGGAGTTCCCTACACCCCACCAGGCTATCGGGCTCTTCCCACAGCACTGACCGAGGGTTCATCCAACTCGGCCAGCCGGGTAAAGTAGCCCCTTAGCCTGGCTCTCAATCCCTCTATCCCGGAGCCCCCTACTTCCTAACCACTCACTCCTCTGACTCTTGGCGAAGACCCCGTCCACGTCACGGTTCCCCCCTCAAATACCCCGGGGGCCATGACGTCACTTTACCCTGACGGCAATTCCCCGAGGCGAGTGTGACCTGACGTCAGCACTCCACTCCTCAACACATATGTGTGTGTAAGTCCATATTGGGAGCCGTAGTGCTGCGCAATGAACCCGGCGACCCGGGTTTGATTTCCGCTCACGGCCAACACCAGTGACGATTATCTGAACCGGTCCTGGGCCTCCCCTAGGTCGACTCAGCCTCAAATGAGTACCCAGTGCGGTGTGTAAACATTCCACTGGGGAGACAAAGGCGGTCGGGCGTGGTGCTGGCCACCCACCCTCTCGTGTACCATTCCGGCCTTCATAGGTGCTCGCTAACAGCACTTTCCCTTACAGTCTGTTAAGGCTATATGGGGGATCTTTGTCTTTGTAAGTCCATATGTGTGTGTCTTAGTCGATATGTGTGTGTATCTTTTTCGACCGGGCAACGCCGGGTACTTCTCGCTAGTATGTTATAAATTGTTTAAATATTTAGATAAGCTACTCCGAACCCAAAACATGTGTCTATCAAGTTGTTGTTGTTGTGGGAGTCCATGATCCCTCCTGAACTTCCACGTGCCCGTGGCTACAGGCTCGCTCTGCATGGCGCCATTCAGCGAAGACGGCCGCTGGTGCCGGGCTCGCGTCAAGGGCGGCCCCCGCACGCTCACTGACGGCGATGGCGTCCTGCTGGTGGAGTACGTGGACTTTGGCAGCTGCTACGAGCATCGCCCCAGCGAGTGAGCGCTTTTCTGTTTTTCACTGCTTGGTGAAAGCGCACAACTTGTTGGGCGTGACTTGCATCCAATCCTTTTTTTTTCCATAACCAATCCCTTGCCACCGTTTCCTGAATAAACCAAGAGAAATAGTCGTATCCATAATTGTTGAATTTTAGGACGTTGCTCTGCAACACACCGTAGTAATGCATTGTCACTTCTGTTCACATGGCAACTTTATGAGCAACTTTATGAATTGGCTGTGTGAGGTGGACCACGCTTCACGACACACATTTTAATTTGGAGATCTGACCCAAAAATCTATTATAACTAAAACATTAGCGTAATATAGTCGTGATCCCTCAAAAATGGGAAATTGCAATATAATGCAAGAAATGTCCCTATTACATGTGGGATGCTGATTGGCTTGGAGCATTTGTCATCTCTCACTGGCTGAGCGAATGTAAACAAAGATGGCGGCAGAGTGCGTTTTCGTACCGTGGCACCACAATTAGGGACCCACCATCACACACAGTGCAGTAGTCCCTCGGTTAACTTTTCTAAGAGAGCTGTTTCCACTGCCAAAACAGAATACGTAATGTAAACAAATCCAGTCGAGATCTGAATGGCTCATAAAATGGGTGTCACTGATTGACTGAGAGCATAGCTCAGCCCCACTTACAAGCGCTCGGATTGGCTGAAATTAGCGCCACCTCGTGCATAACGCAAACACGGTAGTCAACAATGTTACCGTTAGTCAACAATGTTAATGTCCGTCAACAACTTTAACGTCAGTCAACATTGTTAACGTCAGTCAACAATGTTAACGTTAGTTGAAACCATGGGTGGGGGGTTCCTATGGGAGGCAAAACGTTAGCCACAAAAACCGTTGAACTCATGTCGCTGTTAACCGAGGGACTAGGTGTTGTGTTTCTCACGACGATGATGGCCTTTCCACAAATGCTTTTCAGATTGCGAGCCATCCCGGTAGAGCTGCTGGAGTTTCCGGTGCAGACAGTGCAGGTGCGCCTCTGGGGGCTAAGCCCACCCCCCTGCGTGGACCCTGCTTCCGCTGCTGCTGCTGCCGGGGAGAGGCTCCCCTATGGGCCCGAGTGGCCCCACTGCACCTTGATAGCAGTTCGCAGCTGCGTGGATGGTGTGCCGCTGGTGGCCAGCACAGTGGTGAGTGCGAGGTTTGCGTGCGCTGCTGCTGCTGCGTGTGTGTGCTTGCCAAACTGTGGTTTACGCTTCCCTGACAGTCTGTTATCTGAAACTGATCTTTGTGCAAAAACCATTCTAATTCAGGGGCCAAAAAATACCTGCAAATAACTCACTTGAGATTGAGTGAGGCTTTCGTGGGTAAAGAAGCATAAATGGTAAAAGAATTAACAATGACAATACTGCCATTTGATAGTAAACTGAGCGCTGCGTTTTTTCTCTTCGTCCTACGCTGCTGATCACCAGTCCAATGGTTTGTTCATGTTTAGCAATTCCCCTTTGGGCCATGGAATGCTCTGTGCTCATCGTCGCACTTTTCCAACCCCCCTACCCAAAAGCCTCACTTCTTCTTTCTGCACCTGGGGGGGACGAGTTGTAGATAACAAGGCTAAAGCCATCTAGTAGTTAAGAGTTACACGTTTACATATATATAAGTTCATAATTAAAATTATCCAGTGCTGCGCGATTATCCGTGGCTTCCAACATTATCCGGCGGTCTCGGGCCGATCCGGCAAAACCGCTCTGAAGACTGTCACCAGTCCGGCGATTGGCACCGTGTGCATGACAAAGAAAATAGCTATAGTTGATTTTAGTGTAAAATATTTAAAACACTACATTATACACTACATACATACAAATTAAGCAATTAATATACTGCACGTATATACATCTTTCATAACTAATAAAAAAATATATACAGTGCGATCCGCTGAAAAGTGCGTGTAATTTGGCGTTCGCATAAGTCCGTACATCACCCCATGCACAGTCTTTGAGATTGGAGTGGAAAGTACGTTACAGTAAATACGGCATCTTTTTACAGTAGGATATTTTTGTCTATTTGTATGTTTATGCCAATTTCACAAAAACATTTAAGACACTTCCAAAACATATACACAACACCTAAAAATATAATGTCATGCAAGAATGTGCCAAAATAAGCTATTTTAAAGAATGATCTTTTTTGAAAACCGGCATCCCTTTTCCTCCGAAGCCACCGGATAATCGATGATCTACTGTATATATTTTGTACACAGCTAGAGCCTCAAACAAGTAAGGAACCCGCGCATCTATCCTTGCCTTTTGCTCGTTGAGTAGCATCCGGTTTCTGGTCCACATGAATATTTGTAAACAAAAATGTTCTTGCCACGCGGCACAATTAAATATTTGCTGTATCGACAACAACGTTACCGCGCGTGGCGCCTAAACCTTCGCTTGGACGCTGTAAATGCGTGGCAGAAATGTTAAAGAGTGCCGATTCACAACGCTCGTTGCTTTTACATGCCTCGGAGTCAGACTGCAGTGTGGATAATTGTGAGTTGACTGCTGCAATCTTTTTTCTCCGTTTTTGGTAAAGAGGAGAGACAGACGCCCGGCTGTTGTTAAATTGACAAGGGTGCGTGAAGTCGCTCGTACCGCCTCACGACAAAATTATGTGTGCTGCTTCCGACGTCAAAAGGAGCCTCCCTCTTTACCCAATGACCAGGTGGGGGTGCATGTCTTGCGAAGCTTGTGCACCCTTGTGGCACGGTGCCGGTCTGGCCTGAAGGATCGCGCTGCGTCACGTGACGACGCCCAGAGAGGCGGGGGAGTCACCGGCATGCTGAAACGGGGGGGCTCCTTTTGCTTCGAGGGCCGACGTAATTCTCGTCGGCCACTGGCGCCGCACGCGGGGGTGCGGTAACGCAGCGGCACTTGGGGAATTGCTTTATTAGCTCCACGTTAGCGAGCTGCTGCGGCTATAACACTCGTGCGGACTCTGGCTCGGGCAAAGTTCGCATCGCTGCATTGCTGATTACGGAAGCGATTTGCTCTGCTATCATTGACGGTCCTGCTTTCCAGCAGCGAGCGCATCGTGGCGAGGGTGCAGTGGCGAGAGTTGCCGTGGCGAGGGTTGCCATGGCGAGAGCGCAGTGGCGAGGGTTGCCGTGGCGAGGGCGCAGTGGCGAGGGCGCAGTGGCTAGGGTTGCCGAGGCGAGGGCACAGTGGTGAGGGTTGCCGTGGCGAGGGCGCAGTGGCGAGGCTTGCCGTGGCGAGGGCGCAGTGGCGAGCGCGTCGTAGCGGGAGCTAGGCCTCGGCAAGGTAAGGTAAAAGTTAAAAGGTTAAAACAACGAGCCTACCTTTACCCTACCTTTTACCTTACCACAATACAATCACTCTACCCTACCTTTTACCCTTTAGCAGGTAAGGTAAAAGGTAATAGGTAAAATAGGTAAAAAGCAACGAGCCTACCTTTACCCTACCTTTTACCCTTACCCCATACAAATTACCCGATTACAGGGTAATTACTAGGGAACTACACATGAACAAGGTTTAATAAAAGCGTGTTTTTTTTTAAGTTGTTTTAAATATTACTTGTTAAATGGAGGCCACGGACTGCAAGACGGAGCTTTTAGTGGTAAACTAGGCACCGTATTTACCAGGTAATACTTCGCGCTACCTTTACCCTTCCGGGTAATTCTTCTGAGCTACCTTTACCCTACCCTTTAATAATAATAATAGTTCAATTTGTAACGCGCGCAAATTTGCAGACGTAGTGGCCGCAACTCAGAGGTGCGGAGCCAAGCTCAGAGTCGCTCAAAAGCATGATTGTAGAGGTGAGTTTTTAAGTCTCTCTTGAAGGAGGCGATTGAGGTGATGCTGCGAATGTGCAGAGGGATATCGTTCCAGACTGTTGGGGCTGCCACCGAGAAGCGGCGCATAGACATGACCATCCTGGATCTTGGTATCAAGAGGAGGTCGTGAGTCGCGCTGCGCAGGCATCTGCCGTGTGCTGAGCTGCAAGTTGTCAATAATGAAGAAAGGTACGGCGGGCAGGCGGATATGAAGGCATTGTGGCAGAGGCAGGCGGTCTTGTATGTGACCCTACTGGCGATGGGTAGCCAGTTGAGAGCACGGAGACAAGCTAGTGAGTCGAGACGGGGATGAGTGTGGGCAATGACGACGCGTGCTAGGTTATTTTGTAGTCTTTGAAGTTTCTTTAGGTTGCCAGCGGAGGTCCGGACTAGGACGGAGTTACAATAACAATAATCAAGGCGAGACCCAACTATGCAACATGCCAATGTGTTGGCAATTTCAGTAGAGATGAGAGGACGTATGTGTCTAAGAGCCTTCAGGTGAAAGTTACATGAGCTGATGATATGGTTGGTTTGACGGTCGAAGGATAAAGTTGAATCTAGGATGACACCGAGGTAGCTGAAGTGGTCGGTGAACTTGATGTTGTGACCGAAGATGTGTATGTGTGTGGGGAGTGCTGCTGAATTGAGACGTTGCTTGGTACCTAACATGATGGTCACTGACTTTTTCGGATTAAGGGCTAGGTTGTGTGCAGTGAACCATTGTTGCACGGCGGTGGTACATTCCGAGAGCCTCTCGAATCCAGATGCATTGCTAGAATCGATGGCGGTGAATAGAATCGTGTCATCCGCGTATGAGTGATGCTTAACACCGAAGCTTGCAATGAGCCGACCGATCGGGGAAGTGTAGGCTGTGAAGAGCAGGGGACCTAGAACAGAGCCCTGGGGAACCCCGCATAATGCTGTTGTTTCAGGCGATGTGGACATGCCCACCCTGACTAAAGATTGCCGGTCAGAAAGGTACGAAACTATCCACTTGAGTGCTGAGCCGCATATACCGAAGTCAGATTTCAGGAGGGAAGTAAGGAGCGAATGGTTGATGGTGTCGAAGGCTGACGAAATGTCCAGACTTACAAGTGCAACAGTTGAGCCGGAATCAATGATCGTTAAAATGTCATCAAGCACTCTAGTGAGTGCTGTTTCTGTGGAATAGTTTTGACGGTAAGCTGACTGGAAGCAGCAGTAGTTTGCGGAGGAGGTGATGTGTGGTTTTAGCTGGGCGAGGGCTAGTCGTTCAAGGAATTTAGAGAGGTTCGAGAGGTTAGTGATGGGACGATAACTAGAAGAAAGTATGAGGCGGTGGTCGGAGTAACCAGTTTGGAAAACTCCCAGTGCAGTGATGCGTCAGTGCTGGTCAGGTTCCAGAACCAGGTCGAGCATGCTCTCAACGTTTGTTGACGAAGCTCTGGTGGGGCCTGAGTTTGTGATGACCAGGTTATGGTAGGCCAAAGTTGACTCAAGGTGACTATCGATGGAGGCTGGGGTATTGCCGGGGCAATTAAAGTCACCTGTAAGCATGAGCCTGTGAGATGGGTTAGGAATCAGATATAGGAATTCCGAAAGCTCATTTAAGAAGGTGTTGATGCTGCCATCTGGAGGGCGATAGATGGAAATGATGGAAAAGCACTCGTTGTTAGTAGTAAGGGATACGGACTGGACCTCGAAGGTGGCGGGAGCCATTGGTAGATAGAGCTCTTTAATTTTCAAGTGAGCATTGTAAACGACCGCTAAGCCACCACCCCGCTGGTTAGTTGCGCGATGTTTATGAAGAACCTTGTATCCTGGGGGCGCAACTTCCAGAGAGATGGCTGGCGGAGAGTCTTGCCTGCACCAGGTCTCAGTGATGAGCAAAAGGTCGATGTGGTGGTCCGAGATGGTGTCGTGAATCAGGGCTGATTTATTGGTGATGGAGCGTGCGTTGAGTAGGCCGAGGTGGATATGTGAAGGTAGATGTGAAGATCCGTGCAGGTGAGGTGTCGAGGGAATAGAGGAGTTGGCTGGTTCGAGGTCGACCTGTGAACGGCGGCCCCTACCACCTCTGCAACCACAGTGTCGATGCAGTCTCCGACGTTGAACTCGGAGATGGACAGAGAGCGTCCTCAGGAGCGCAGGTTCCAGGTGCAGATGATGAAGAGATGGTGCATGTCGTAGCCCTATTATATCAGCCCGTGCTGCACCGATGGTGCTGATGAAGGGGCCCAGATTCGGGTGGACTCCAATCAGCGGTTCTGCTGCCCTGAGCAGCAAGTCGAGGTGTCGTTGTCCAAGCTCCACGCTGTCAGCAAGCACTTCCCCATACGTAGCGGATGCAAACACGCCCGTGTAAACACTCGTTGAGCGCATACATGGGCGTACAGAACCACGCAGGCGGGGCGTGCAATGGAGCAGCCAGAAGAACACGAGGTCCAGTGGATTAGCTGACCACGTGCTGTGCTCCAGGTGATGCAGCAGGATGGACGAAACTCACAGAGCTCCCGTTCACTGGTGGTGCTGGGCAGCAGGCAATCCAACTCTCTCGTGTTGAGGAGATGACAGTCTGCTTCGCGTTCCCACTCGCTGATGGTGGTGAACATTGGATGGAGCACGTAGATCTCCCACTTGCTAGCGATGCTGGGGTACGCCAAGCTCACAATCGCTGATAGTACTGGAAGAGGTGCCTTGTGAGGACGTTGCTGGTAGAAACCGTACCCAAGGTGGCTGTTAAGCCGCGCCGCATGAACAATACAGCCAGCGTCCTCCAGCTTCGTGAGTCGAAGCAGCAGACATCGTTTACTCGCACTGCCCAACAGCTGTGCGATGCGGCAGTTAAGGTAGGTTGTGTGACACTGCAGTAAACGGCATTTGTCAGCTGTTGTAGCGCCGCGAAGCGTGTGCAGTGAACACGGAGGCGGGCGGGTTTGGGTGCAGGGATCTGCCGCCACCCAAAACTCGGGCGACGCCAAAGTAATAATGAAAATAATGAAACAAAATAAATTATATGAAAAATGTAATGGAAGATGAATGTAAGAAGAGCGGTGGTGAGTGAAGAAGGACGTGGGTAAGGTACGAGGTGTGGTGTGCCGAGGCCTAGCGGGAGCGGAGTGGCGAGCGTGTAGTAGTGCGTGTGTAAACGTCGCAGGCCCCGATCACGGCTTGCGCTCGGACTGCGCAGCAACTCCGCCATCGCGATGTGGCATTCAGTTTGCCAGGGCCGCCTCAACATCGGCCGCTCATGGTGGTGATGTTGTCACCCCGAGTCGGTGGCTCTGTGCTCAGTGGCGCGACCAAGTCGCAGGGTTTAAATTAATATCTTGAATTATTCACGTGTTCTGATATAGGTGTATATTTTTAGATCGAGTAGGGTTGGAATGACTAAAACACATCCGTAATTGTTCGTATTAAATTTATGGGAAAAGCCATTCCGATTTTACGAAATGTCGTTTAATACGTGTTTTTCGAAGCACTCGTCCCTTGTTTGTAAATTGAGGGCTACCTGCATTGTAAAACAAATGTGTTTATGCGCGCCTGTATGTGTGTGTGTATGCGTGTCCAATATTAAATGGATGCACGAGGGCCCCAACAGTCTGTGCAGGCTGTACGGGAAATCTTTGTCTTTACGCAATAGTGGGGAGCAGTAATGTGCTGCGCTACGAACCCGGCGACCCGAGTTTGATTTCCCCTCCCGGCCGACAACAGTGACGATTATTTGAACCAGTAGTGGATCTCCCCAAGGTCGATTCGGCCTCAAATGAGTTCCTGGTGTGGGGTGTAAACATCGCCACTGGGGAGACAAAGGCGGCCGGGCGTGCTGTTGGAGACTGTTGGGGCAAGTGCAAACAGCACTTGCCCCAACAGTCTCTTCAGGCTATACGAGGGATTTTTGTCTTTGTGCAATAATAGACGGATGCACGAGGGCCGTGCGTGGCGCTGTACCATGCTGCGGACCCAGGCGGCCCCCTGGTCTACCATCACATCCCAGCAGAAGGTCTGGCTCAGTGGGAGGTGGGCACTGAGGAAGCGCGGCCGCCAACACACGGGTGAGTCCGATCACGTCATGCCACTCAATGCCACTTTGAGCTGTCAACTTCGCTAATTAGCTTCCACTTCTCTGTCACAATGCACTTTTGTTTTCCCCAAGCGCATCTCACGACCCCTTAAGCTCCTCATGGCTACCACTCATTCCCCATCCATCTAATCCATTCGTCATAATTTGCTCTTCACTATTGTATTATTTATAAGTAAAAATTGTATTCACCTTCATCTTCACCTTGGTCAAGGTGCTCAATAAACTACGATAAATATATGATCCCATTTAGTTATAACCTCAGCGGCAGCCCGTTTGAGCCCAATAATCACAGCAGTCACAAATTTGATGAGTAATGATGTCAGTGCCAAGCAACACCTGAACCAGTCCTGGCCACGCACCCCATTTACCAATGTGCATCGACGAGAGATTTGATGAGGCCGTAGAGGAGAGAGCGTTGTAGCAGACACGTTCCGGGTGTGATAAATGAACTGATGAGGGTCTTGGCTGCAGCTGGGGTAAGGATATAGCATATGCAGAGATGTTGGATAGGGTGGAGAGAGGTCCTGAAGAGTTGAGATATTGATGCATGGGGCAACACTGTAGATATTGTAGTTAGTTATATTTTCAGTCATAATTGAATATAAATGTCCACATTGTTACTTTTATTACATAATATATATAATATTGGAAGTGGCAGAGTGGCTATTGTATTAAGTTAGATTATATATTTTTCAAGTCACTTAAAAAATATGACAAACAGGCACTGATTGAATAGATAATAGATTATTCATTAAAAGGTACTTTCTGTTGGCCTGTGGTTTACTGGATGCACAATGATGTCTTTCTTTCAAACTATTCTTGTGTCTACTCAGATTACACATAGTAATCCATTAGAGGTTATTTTTGGGGTTAGATGGCGTAAATATAAATGTGTCGTTAAACCCGCCACCACCCGACACAGCCAATTAGTAAGGTTTGTCATGTAAACAAAACATGCTGATTAGTTACTAGTTGAGCACTAACCGGTTCTGTGTTGGAGAGTAAACTCACAACATTTACAGTTCGAGTACCCGTGACGTTTTGCAGGTAATTACAACAACCGGCCTCATCAGGCAACATCCAGAGTTGTGGAGAAATCCTCATTCTGTTTCGGACATTATTCATATTTACGTGATCTAATCCAAAACATCTCTCTTTTGGATAATGTTGGTAGTAACATCGCTCATTACTGGCAAACTAATTCCATCTGTGAAACAAAGCATCTTCGTAAAAAATGGCACAAATACCAAATGAATATACCAACTTATGGTTTACAATTTATGATTGTAAAAATTTGTAGGTGTTCTAGATTGTGACACTGCTAAGTTATTTGTTTGAGCATTGGAATATTAGACCTCGTAACCGCACCCTGTGTGGAAGGAATCAAGATTGTTTCTTACTTGTGCGCAGATAAGCAAGTGCCGGATATCCTGCAAGCTCCCAGTGCCGGATCGTTTTCACAGACAGAGAATACTCGTATTTCTCCAATGCTGCGGCTGCACTTCTGGGCTTGCTGTTGCTGTTCTTCCTGCTGGTACTCACACTGGTGCTGTGCCGACGACGATGCTTCCACGCCGTCCAGTCCCAGCGCCACTTGAATGAAAACAGCCTCACTATATGGAGCATTCAGCCGTGCACTCACCTGACGTTGAGATCATCGGTGAGGAGTACACTGCCACAATGGAGGACTGAAAAAATGTGTACACTCAGAACGACAAAGCATCTGCGTTCAATCATTATTTGCTTAGTTCAGTGGTTCTTAAACTTTACTGCAGCCTTGCCTGCACCCCTTTGGTTCTCAATCATAGAAACATATATAATGTTAATAAATACATTGGTTTGATGAAACAAAGTAGTTGTACTTACGTGCCCGTGGTTAATTTGTATTTCGATGATTTACCTTCTAAAAAATTATGGCCATGTCTCGCACCCCCAGAAATGACATCTCGCACCCCCAGGGGGGTGCGTCCACCCCAGGTTAAGAACCACTGCCTTTGTTCAAGGCCATCGCTTATATACAATGTCTTATAAAACGTGATGGTCCAGATATTCATTCAAATCTTCAGATTCGTAGAGTTCAGTTTTGCTTATAAAATAGCAATTTACTGACATCTTTCCCAAACTCTTGGAGTTCCTCGATCCCAAAGTTTGTCATGAAAAGTAAATCACTACCAATTCTATTCATCGAAATTCAATCCATTTTGTTTGCATATAATGTTGAATAATGATTTTCTATCATTATGCGCAGTTATTAGATGTTTATTTGCAATTGTAATTGAATGTAATTTTATGAGAAACTGTATATCTACAGTTTGACGATGTTGTGGAATAAGAGCACTTGCCACCATCCGTGAGTTTACCTTCTGACTGAAAATAGGCAACTTGAAAACCACAAGTGTCCATCACTATACACCGCAATACTGCACTGTATGTCACTGTTTTGGAGACATAATATTTTCCATCAAATATAAGTGTGAAAAACATTTAAAGAACACACACTTTAAAAAATCCAAAGTCAAAATGATATTCATAATACGTTTTCATTTAAGGAAATAAAATTCCCCACAGAAGATGTTATCTTCTGTATGTACTATTTTTTGCCTGGAGGTCTTTCCAAAAATATTTTATGGATCATGACTAGCATTACATGAACACTTTGTGGCCGATGTTACAAGTTTAATTTATTTGGTATAGCTCTGTGAGCCATGCGGCTCTTGAGTCGGGTGCAACCGCAACAAACAAAATATGAACACAACATCTGAAAGCAATGGAGCGCACCCCGGGAGCGCGAGCCTCAGGCGGCCATCAGTGGAGAGCACGGGGCTCCCTCAGGGCAGCAGTGGACGGAGCACGGCTCAGGACAGCAGCGGAGAGAGCGCGGCTCTTCCTCAAGCCAGCAGTGGAGACCACGGGGGTCCCTCAGGGCAGCAGTAGACGGAGCACGGCTCTGCCTCACTGTCACTCACCCATCTCCCTCAGGGCAGCAGCGGACAGAGCACGGCTCTGCCTCAGGGCAGCAGTGGAGAGAGCGCGTCTGGCTCCCTCACGGCAGCAGTGGAGATAGCGCGGCTCTCCCTCAGGGCAGCAGTGGGCAGAGCGCGGCTCTCCCTCAGGGCAGCAGTGGAGACAGCGCGTCTGGCACCCTCACGGCAGCAGTGGAGACAGCGCGGCTCTCCCTCAGGGCAGCAGTGGACGGAGCACGGCTCTGCCTCACTGTCACTAACCCGTCTCCCTCAGGGCAGTAGCGGACCGAGCACGGCTCTGCTTCAGGGCAGCAGTGGAGAGAGCGCGTCTGGCTCCCTCACGGCAGCAGTGGAGATAGTGCGGCTCTCCCTCAGGGCAGCAGTGGGCAGAGCGCGGCTCTCCCTCAGGGCAGCAGTGGAGAGAGCGCGTCTGGCACCCTCACGGCAACAGTGGAGACAGCGCGGCTCTCCCTTCGGGCAGCAGTGGACGGAGCACGGCTCTGCCTCACTGTCCATAACCCGTCTCCCTCAGGGCAGCAGTGGACCGAGCACGGCTCTGCCTCAGGGCAGCAGTGGAGAGAGCGCGTCTGGCTCCCTCACGTCAGCAGTGGAGATAGCGCGGCTCTCCCCCAGGCCAGCAGTGGAGAGAGCGCGTCTGGCACCCTCAACGGCAGCGCGGCTCTCCCTCAGGGCAGCAGTGGACGGAGCGCGGCTCTCCCTCAGGGCAGCAATGGACAGAGCACGGCTCTCCCTCAGGGCAGCAGTGGAGAGAGCGCGGCTCTCCCTCAAGCCAGCAGTGGAGAGCACGGGGGTCCCTCAGTGCAGCAGTGGACGGAGCACGGCTCTGCCTCACTCTCACTCACCCCTCTCTTGCTCGCGGGCACTTGACACACTTCAACCCATCCGGGGGCGTACATGTTTGGGAGGGGCGCACCTTTGGTTGGCTGCTTGCTCGTGGTCACGTGACGCACTTCAACCAATCCGTTAATCACAGTCACAATGACAGAATGACAGAGCTGGGTGTTTATCATAACCAACTTGGCCAGGTATGGGAACACCTCCACTCTTTCCACAACTGCCTATCATGCAGAGTTGAGGGGAGTGGAATACTTGAAGATATACAAAATATCCAGGTAGGTACTGCTTTGATTTGATAGGGCAAATGGTAAGGCCCTACCTCTTACTGGAACGATCCAGGCTCGCCATCAGACTTTCCCACTCCTCGAAGTGAACAGCCATGATGAGATCATCATCACCACCATCATCAGCACACAGATCATCAGTTGTTCTCTCTCCTTCCAGATCAATAAAAACCGTGTGGCATGTTACACGTTCAAATTATTGTTACATCAGGATTCGTAGATTGAAGTATATTTTAATACAGGCAGACCTCACTTAGCGTGCCCCCGTAGAACACTGATTCGTTATAGTGATAGGTGTGGGGCCAAATTTTCTGTACTGACTTCTACCGCCAAGCTTTTTTCTCAACATTTGTGCATTTCTCCGGTTTCCTTCTACGTGCCGAACCCTGATGCTTGGAAATGACCAAACATCTTAATGCAAGACGGAGCTGAGAATAAGTCCCGAGCAGCTGCACTGCGATGTGCCAGCCTTGCCACTGCATCATGGTGGTGGTGATAAAACTGATTCGGAATCAAATATTCAGTATGCTTTGTGATTTTTTTTTTTAAAGTGTTAATTTAACGAGTTCCGGTGACGCCATGGCCAAGTGAGCACTTTATAGGGGGCCTATGAAAAACTTGTTTTTGGAGATTCCTAGGGTGTTCCTCAGTAAGCAGCTCGAGCCTGACCTCGTGGCTAGGCCAAGGGGACTTCCTCTCCGTATCTTCGTGCTCCATTGCAGACAGGTCCCCCGGGAAAAAAGCCATGGTTTCGTCTCCGCTGGCCCCTCCCCGTTCAAGTTGACACCGAAGACACGAGTGTTAGGAACGAGAGCTCTTATAATCCCTCCTGGAAAAAAACCGAAGAGAATACTGGCCTTCTTTGGGTCCTCAACGAGGTCAAGAAACGTTTGCAGGAGGGTAGAGAAGCAGGAGGCAGCCTTATACGACCCTTCACACTACGCTAGACGAGCACGAAGCCAGGCTGCTGGAGCTTGAGGTGGCATACAACAGACTGGCCGGTAAGGGACGTGAGTGCCAAGTGAAAGCGTACAGCCTCCTGGAGGGGGTCGAGGGCAATGCTCCTCAAGGTGCTCGATCCTACTTTCGGCTACATCTGCTCGAAGCTCCGGCATTCCTCTCTACAATTGGGCCATCACCACCTACACGAGAGTCGGCGCTGCCCTGTGACCACGACGTGCCTCCACGCCTGCTTTGTGTCGACGTGGGGACCGCGTGCTTGTCGTCCGCACAAGCTTGCTTCCTGCGTTTTTCAAAAACAAAGAGCAGACTCCGTTCCACAACCTCTCTCGCATATATATGGATTTTTATATTTTGACCACTATGATAAACACGTTGCCTGCGTGCGGCGACACTGGATGCTTTGCTCTCTTCCTTATCCCTTCACCACGGAATGAACACAGTACTGCAGTCATGCGCATTATGGGGTGGGGTGGGTGAATAGGTGCACACAGGACTTGTCCAGGTTTGCCGGCACACAGGAGAGGCTGGTGTGGCGTCCCGGCCACAACCCGTAGGTGGGGGGGGGGGGGTTCCCAGGGCCAGTAAGGTATTCCACGCCACAAATACTTCGGGCAGCAGAGGTATAGACATCTTGGTAAAAAAAGAGCATTAAATGTTTTTCTTGCGGTAAAATTACAGGGCAGAGATATCACACGACTGATTGTGTATAACCCACCATCATCAACACCGCAATTGCGATTGTCCTGGTCGAGAAGAGTGGGGGAGGTTATTATGGGAGGGGACTGGAATTTGGTCCTGGACCCTGCTTTTGAAAAATCACCTGCAACTACCTACGATCAAAACGGTGCGCAGACTTCTGGCTGAAATTATGTCCAAGGCACACAGAACGCTATCCATAATCGACTACTTCCTCATTTCCAAACCTCCTTGCCACAGCTCATTAAGGTTAAGATCCTGGACATGCAGCTGCTCGACCGTGCCCCAATAATAATTCGGCACATCTTAAACCCCAATGAGGGAGCGAGTAACTTCTGGTCCCTAGATAGGCAGCTTCTGGATGAGGAATATAAGAGAGGAGATGAGGAAAGAGATAGAGGAATTTATCCGGATTAACTCCGTCGCTGAGCTCCCCCTCCCACATAATAACATGAGCTGGAGGGGAGCTTAGCTAACCTTCATGTGAAGTTGAAATCCTCATGAATGTTTTACTAAGTAGACGGCGTGAAAATGAAACCAGAAAGGCTATTGATTGACCAAGCTAGACAGTTATTCAGGAGAGCCTGGCTGCTCTTCCATCATCTTTACTCCACTACCGCTAGATTTCTGGCAGGGATGGTTAAATCCTGTCGGCATCGTTGCTTCATCGCATATATCCGTTGCATGAAGGACCCACCAGTAACCAAGGCCAGGAATATCAATGCGCGTTTTAGAGAGTACTATCTTACCTTATTTTACAGCAATTACAAATTTGTACATAGCCTTGGTAATTTGAAATGAAAAATTGGGTTATTGTAGGTAATGGTGGTGGTGTAGTTTAGATGCAGTAAAACAAGAGGGATTGATAGAGGGTTGGGATAGAGCCTGGTCGTAGCTGGGGGGGGGGGGGGGCGACAGAAAACTGGTAGGCTGATAAGTATTGGGGCCCCATCGTGTAGGACACTTACAGGGCAAATGTGCTGGTAGCACGAGCACAGCTGCCATAACCCCTTAATTGGGAAGGGGCAAGTAGCCGAGAGCAGAGTCTTGCAGCTCTCCCATTGGAGGAAGAGCCGCTGACCCCATGACGTGCTCTATGAGAGGTCCCTTCGAGGGACACGATTGGGGGAGAGAAAAGGATGGGGAGGGAGAGGCGGGGCGAGGGAAAAGAGCGGCAGGTGTCGCGTGGAGCCAGGAGCGATGTCCGTCCAGAGAGGACATGGATTCTTTTCTGGCTACGATCATCACCCTTTCCTGATCTTGGTCCAGACCAAAACATCGAGCTGGGCAGACCTATTGCTCCTCAGGAATTCCTAGATGCCACGGCCGCGTAGCCAGCAGGGAAGGCGGCTGGCCCCTATCGGATACCGGTGGAGCTCTAAAGAAAAGTAGGGGTCCCCTTTACCTCTTACCCCCCCCCCCCCCCCCATGAGTTGAGCTTGACGATGTTATATCGCCCACCTACGACTGTAAATAATAAATGGGCCACATTTACCAGACAATTGCAATTCCATCAGAATAGCTAATTGAACCTAACTGACAATCTCGGTTAATCAGTGTTTAAATAACCCCATAGTATGTATCAACATGCACATCTTTGTCCGAGGGAGCAGGATGCGGTTTTAATCCGCCTTGATTATATTATGAAATGCATAACGAGCAGAGGCTTCACGCCTGCGATTAACATCGTTTTAAAGACACGCTTAACTCCCGTATCCAATAAACTCCCGCTTTGCGTTTTGAACTCTGTGCTACGATGGCTCCGTCGCGTGAGCAGAGACCGCAATGCGGAAT